GTGCATTCCCTTTCGTCGCCGCTCTTGTATATACATATTGGGTGACAGCTTGTTCTTCTCTCTCTCTCTCTCTCTCTGTATGGCATCCATAGCTGCTCTCTCTCATCAATAGGTGCCCTTACTGCTCTCTCTTTCTCAACCTACACCTACACCTACACACTTTCTTTTGCTTGAATTCAATTTTGGTTTTGATAACTAGATTGGTTGGAGCTTGTGACTGTGATGAGGAATGAAGAAAGTCATGCACTACTCTGATCATCATTCCCATGATGATAAATTTCTCACTACCCATTTTTTTCTGAGCCCTTTCTCTCCCCCATCTCTCCACTCATCAAATCAAACCCATTCTTTTTTTTTTTTCCTCCTCATATTTATCCTTGTTATTTGCCAGCCAATGATTGTTTAAACATTATGGGGGTTTACTATAATTAAATATCAACCAACTGAAAAATATCTACGCTATGGNTCTGAGCCCTTTCTCTCCCCCATCTCTCCACTCATCAAATCAAACCCATTCTTTTTTTTTTCCTCCTCATATTTATCCTTGTTATTTGCCAGCCAATGATTGTTTAAACATTTTGGGGGTTTACTATAATTAAATATCAACCAACTGAAAAATATCTACGCTATGGATTCAGAAAGAAAGATTAAACCAAGCCGTGATGACCGTACAGCAAAGTGCTTATGGGGAGACAATCTGGTTTCTGAGTGGTTCTAATCTTTTAATTCTATTAATTTAGTCTTTTTTTATTTTTATTTTTATTTTTATTTTTTTTTATAAGAAACGATATGCTATTGATATTAATTCAAAAAAGATACATCAGAATAGAGAAAAGATGATAAAAATATTGCAAATTTCGCCACATAAATTGTAAACATTATCAAAATGACACATAATATAAACTTTAAGCACGCAATAATCTTTTAAGTACAGTCANCTTTTAATTCTATTAATTTAGTCTTTTTTTATTCTTTTTTTATTTTTTTTTTATAAGAAACGATATGCTATTGATATTAATTCAAAAAAGATAAATCAGAGTGGAGAAAAGATGATAAAAATATTGCGAATTTCGCCACATAAATTGTAAACATGATCAAAATGACACATAATATAAACTTTAAGCACGCAATAATCTTTTAAGTACAGTCACATGAAATGCACATAGACATCAACGTTAAACTTGAACTTCCATTTTGTTTGGGGGCGAGGCTTAGACCTCTGTTTTCAATTGGACTAAGGTAGTGTAAATTAAATATTAGAGGGATTCAATTGATACAATTGAAAATTTGTGGATGGAGCTTACACAAACCTCATACTTCGAGTATTTAAAAATTAAATTTTGCCTCATTGTATTTGTGAAATTTTTGCACAAAAACGTGTGGAATATTTACAACTACTGTTGCTGATTGTCCTGTGANTAAATTAAATATTAGAGGGGTTCAATTGATACAATTGAAAATTTGTGGATGGAGCTTACACAAACCTCATACTTCGAGTATTTAAAAATTAAATTTTGCCTCATTGTATTTGTGAAATTTTTGCACAAAAACGTGTGGAATATTTACAACTACTGTTGCTGATTGTCCTGTGATGGTCTTCTTAGGGGTTCCTTCCTACCACTCTAAATATACAAATTGCCCAAATATGGAAACAGAGATCAGCACTCTGTACCCATATACCTACTCAGAAGTTTACTGATGAAAGAAGAGGTGCAAAATCCAGACACAACCAAAAGCAATTAGATCAGCAAATCCTTAATTAGTTCATTACATTTCTGGAAATCTGTAATACAGAGGCAGTAGTGGAGCGCCGCCCACTCGCCCATCGCATCGCCCATGTAGCACCAATTCTTATTTCTTTCTTAGCTTACATCAACATACATAGTTATCTTGTGGATGTGACTAATTGGCTGGCTTTGTTTTTACTTACTATTATTATTATAATATAATATTTGTATGGCCTTACTTTTACTTATTATCAAAATTATAATATAAATCTTTGTATGGCTTTGCTTGGACTGATTGTCATTATTATAATAAAACCTTTCCTTTTTTCCACATGACGCCACACTCACTCTTATTTGCATACCTGCACATGCATTGGTCTCCACTAAAGTAGAAATGGGGCGCCGCCCACAATAACACCCAAGCACCACAGCACTCCTAGCATCGCCCAAGTGCCTGCCCAGCACTCCTGGCGTCGCCAAAGGTGCTGCTCAGCTCTCCTGGCATTGCCCAAGGCGCTGCCTAGCCCCTCTGGCATCGCCTAAAGCACCTTGTCAGTCTCCGGGCGTCGTCAATAGTGCCCAAGGCCGCCGCCCAACTTGGGTTGGGATCTAGAGTCCCATTAAAACTCAACTCCAAGTATTAAGTGAATATTGATAAACAAAGTCTCTCAACGAGCATATCTCTTCTTATAAGTCAGGACTCAGCGTCTTATTACGACTCTACCTCGAACATCTAAAGGATTGGTGCTGAGGTCTGTCTTATCACAACCTGAAGTTTGATTTTACTTAGAACACGACTTCTTATGTCACTATAAATAAAGGCTACGAGTACCAGGTAAGGAATGGGAATCCGAGCCTATTCACCATACATTTTTTCTTCTACTAGCTTATTGACTTAAGCATCGAAATCCCTTTGGCCGCCTCCGACCATCGGTTCACCTAGGCGTTCTCTTGTTTTGCAGGTTCACCAAGGCTTCTCTGCCACCTTCTCCGTCAGTATGAGGTGATTACTTTCAGCGTGGATTTATCCCCGCACAATTGGCACCGTCTGTGGGAAACGATTACATTTTCTACTAACCAAGAAGCCTTGAAACCTGACCGACGAGAGAGCCCTCGATCCCAGAACTAGTCGTTCACTACTTCCACTACCCCTGATCCACGAGGATCCTGCTAACTATGACCTCCAATTATTCGAGGAGGTGCTGCTTGGTGTTAGGCAGGACCACTCAAGAGAAAATCCTCCTTCTCACCAGAACCATCCTGTTCTCGGTGTAGAAGGTAGGTTAGCTACTGAGATTGATTACCATGAGACAATCAGGAAGAAGATAGAAGAGCTAAAAGCTCTCAGGCAAGGCCTCCTACGTCAGAGCGGCAAGTAACTCACTAGCGAGGTCAAGCGATCAACCCGTAACCATGATCATCGTAACGATCACATTGAGGAAGTTTATTCCTCCCAACATAGGATTCATGCTCGAGAAAGGAGTTACTCGACCCACAATCAGAATCGAAGCAGGCACTCCACTAGGAAAAGTGTTACTAATCACACCCTCAAAGACCCTTCTCCGAGACATGATCGCCCTCATCGTAGGGGAGGTCGGGAAACACATAGACAACGTCGTCCTAGGGAGCCAAGGGGAAGACAGGAGACTACTTCCCGCTGTCAGAGGGAAGATCGTTAGGACGATAATAGAGTAGAAAAAGGAAGGCGCTCTGAGCCAGCTCATGATATGGCCACTCGACTACAACATGACTATGCTCATGACGATTTATTCAGCGAAGAAGAGGGCGAGGCAGACCCTCGCAAAGATGACTACCACACCTTTCGTTCGGTCCATACGAGAATCCAAACCCCCACGGAAGTTCAATCCTCCGACTTCGAGTTATATGATGGCCAGTCCAACCCCGTGCTTCATGTAGTAGGAGCTTACACCAACAAGATGGCCCTCTGGACAAACTATGAGGCATTGATATGCAAAATGTTCCCTTCCAGTTTAGGAAAGTCAGCGCTTAAGTGGTTTCATGGGATGCCCGTGACCTCAATCTACTCTTGGGAGCAACTCGCTGAAGAGTTTGTCTCTCGATTCATAGCTAATAGTCGAGAACCTATGACGATTGATACATTATTGGCACTATGCCAAAAACGAGGAGAGACTCTTTGAGAGTACGCCACGAGGTACCTGGAGACTTATGCCAACATCAAAGAATGCAACGAGAAGATCGCTACTGTCTCCTTTTGCTTGGGGCTCCCAAGGGAGAGTGAGTTGCAAAAATATCTCACTATGTGGCCACCCAGGAGTTTGTCCCACTTGCAGGAGCACATCAGGAGGTATGTAAAGGTGGAAGATGACAAAGGGCCAATTGATTGGCTATCATCTCCACCGAGGAAGAATCAAAGAAAGGAAGATAGTTCCACGAACACATCAAAGTAGGGAGAAATGTCAAAGGGGATGAAGGACTGATCCCAAACAGTCGATACTATTTTCAAAGAGCTAATCTATCAAATTTTGAACCAGATTAAAGACAAGGATTATTTCAGGTGGCCACCAAAGATGACAAGGGACCCCTCCAAGAGAGACCAAAACCTCTATTGTTCTTACCACAAGGATAAGGACCACCGAGCAAAGAATTTTTGTTCTCTCATGTGCCACTTGGAGGAGTTGGTCAAGCAAGGTCACCTATCCCAATACATAGACAAGGAGGAGACTGCCAAGGAGCAGGCAGAACAACGAACTCAACAAGATGATCAACCTCGAGAAGACCAGCCTCCCAAGGTAATAAACGTCATCTTTAGCACCACTCCTTCGGTGCAAGTTGACTCGATCTAGTCCCGACCGAGTATCGAAAAGCCTGCCATCTTCAACATGTTATGCTCGCAGATCATCAATATGGTCATACTTCCAAGTGCCGACGAGCAAAACCAGAGAGTGTTCCCATCACATTCTCAGATGCAGACTTGGAAAGAATGGTTCACCCGCATAATGACCCCCTTTTTCTCACTCTCAACATGAGCGACTTTGAAGTAAGACGTGTGCTCATTGACCCTGGGAGTTCAACGGAGATCATGTATTATGACCTGTTCAAGAAATTGGAAAAAACTCAAGCTGAGATGGCATGCAAGTCTGGCCTCTTGGTAGGTTGCGGCTTCCTGTCAAAGTCGTTACACAAGTGGTGGAGTTAGACTTTCTAGTGTTAGACGTTCCGTCACCGTACAATGCCATCATGGGGAGACCATAGCTCCACCAGATACAAGCGCTAGCCTCCATCTACCATCAGATGTTACGTTTCCCTACTAGTGAAGAGATAGTCGGGATTCATGGAGACCAAGTTACTTCTAAGCAGTGCCTTAAGTCACAACAGGTGTTCATAGCTGATGAAGAGCTCCCCCTTCTTAAGGACGTAGGGGTGAAGCCTAAAGACAAGTCAATCAAAGAACTGCAGGTCATACTATAGACCAATTAGATTCGGATAAATACTTCTTAATCGGGTCACAGTTACCTACACCTGAGAAGGAATCCCTTATTGGGCTACTAAGGAGGAACATCAAGATCTTTGCCTAGACACCTTATGAGATGCCAGGAATTGATCCCTCATTAGCTAGCTATCATCTTAATGTTGACCCTGCTCGCAAGCCTGTTGTTCAGAGGAGTAGGAGGTTCGCTCTCTAACACGCGGAAGTCGTTGATGAAGAGATGGGCAAGCTACTAGAGGCCAGTGCTATAAGGGAGGTCTAATACCCGGAGTGGCTATCAAACACTGTTGTGGTCAAGAAGAAGAATGGTAAGTGGCGAGTTGTTGACTTCACAAGCCTCAACAAGGCCTGCCCAAAGGACTTTTTTTCACTCCCAAAGATTGATCAGCTTGTGGATGCCACATCTGGCCATGCAAGGATGAGCTTCTTAGATGCATATAGAGGCTACCATCAAATTTCCATGTGTTGGGCCTGATGAGGAGAATACAATGTTTATCACACCAAAAGGGATCTACTACTACAAGGTTATGCCTTTTGGCTTGAAGAACTTAAGAGCTACTTACCACAGAATGGTGACAAAGCTCTTTGGCTCCATGATCATCCAAATGATAGAGGTGTACATAGATGATATGGTGGTTAAGTGTAAGGAGTTAGAGAACCACCTCTTTGACCTTCAAGACGTATTTGATATCTTGAAGCATCACAAGCTCATGCTTAACGCCTCAAAGTGTGCCTTTGGAGTGAGCTCTAGGAAGTTCTTAGGACACTTGGTGACACGAACAAGGAAAGAAGCTAATCCAGATTAGATTAAGGCTTTGCAGGCAATTAAGAAGCCTTTCTCAATCAAGGAAGTCCAGAGGTTAACGGGCATGGCTGCGGCCCTTAACCGATTTACCAATCGATCTTCAGACCGATACAAACCCTTCTTTCATTTGCTTAGAGCAGGTCGGGCCTTCCATTGGGATGATGAGTGTGATAAGGCCCTCGATGACTTGAAAAGCTACCTCTAAACACTTCCTTTGCTCTCCACCCCTTCGCAGGGGGAAGAGCTTCAACTTTATTTAGTTGTATCCGAACACGCTATAAGTGGAGTGTTGCTACGGACAGAAGGGAAGGAGCAAAAGCTTATCTATTTTGTAAGCAAGACTTTATTGGGGGCAAAGACCAGGTATACTCCCCTCAAAAAACTCCTGTTTGCCGTGGTTATAACTTCTCGTAAGCTGAACCACTATTTCCAAGCACACACCATTGTGATAATCACTAGACACCTCCTTGAGGAGTATACTTAGTAAGACAGATCTCTCTAGTCGCATTGCAAAGTGGTCACTTGAGCTGGGGTAGTACGACCTCAAATTCATTCCAAGAACAACGATTAAAGCATAGGTCTTAGCCGACTTCATAGCAGAGTTTACGTATGAACTACCAAAAGAATAGGTAGTAGCATGGAGCTTGGCTCTTAGGTCTCAGCCTTGGGAGTTACAAGTTGATGGATCCTCAACCCGGAAAAGATCAGGGGCTGATATTGTCTTGTTCTCCCCTCATGAGGAAGTCCTGGAGCAGGCCCTCCGATTTGGGTTTGCTGCCACTAACAACGAGGCTAAGTACGACGCATTAATCTTTGGCGTACGAGCAGCATTGAGACTGGGGGCAAAAGAGTTGACTATATACTCCGATTCTCAACTGGTGGTCAACCAACTATCCAGGGAGTATAACGCCCGTTCAAACACAATGACCTCATACCTTGAGAAGGCAAAGGACTTGCTTGGACAATTGAAATCCTACAAGATAATCTAGATCCCAATAGACCAGAATGAACATGCAGATGTTCTTGCTACTCTAGCTTCCGCTAATAAACAAGGTTTAAAGCGAACCATTGAAGTGGAGTATCTTGAGAAACCAAGTATACATGAGGACCCAGTAGAAGTCAATTGCGCGGAGCAAGCACCGAGTTGGATGGACCCTCTTGTCCAATATCTCAAGAATGGGACTCTCCCAGAGGATAAGAATGAGGTAAGACTCATTGTCTCAAAGTCAACCCGTTACTGGTTGTCACTAGATCATAAGCTTTATAGGAGGTCTTTCTCAGGGCCGTACTTACTATGTGTCCACCCTAGCAAAGTGGAGGATCTACTCTATGAGATCCACAAAGGGGTATGTGGTGCCCATACTGGAGGAAGAAGCCTTGCCTTAAGGGCCATCTCCCAGGGGTATTGGTGGATGTATATGTAGAAGGATGCACAGGTATATGTGAGGAAGTGCGACAAGTGTCAAAGGTTTGTTACTATACCTCGACAGCCAGCAGGTGACCTAAACCCACTCACGAGCCCTTGGCCAGTAGCTTAACAGGGTATCGATATAGTAGGTCCCCTTCCTCGGGCTCCATCCAACAAAAGGTATCTCATCACTGCAACTGATTACTTTACAAAGTGGATTAAGGCCAAGCCCCTCTCCAACATCCACGACACTAATACAAAGAAGTTTGTATAGGAGAATATAATCATAAGGTATGTAATTCCTTACGCCCTTATATCTGAAAATGGCACTCAATTTGATAGCTCAGCGTTCAAAGAATTCTATTCGGGATATGGGGTTCGCAATTATTATTCCTCCCCTACTTACCCTCAATCTAATGGGCAAGCTGAAGCTTTGAATAAGTTCATCCTTGACAGCATCAAAAAGAAGTTGGAAGCAACCAAAGGAAGGTGGGTGGAGCAACTTCCAAAGGTGTTTTGGGCTTACCAAACAACTCCAAGGTGTTCTACAGGAGAGATGCCTTTTCTCCCTCTCATACGGTATAGAGGTCGTAATTCCTCTTGAAGTAGGTCTACCAACTATAAGAACTGAAGTCTATGAGCAAGGTAATAATGATCAAACCCTTGAACATAACTTAGATCTTATTGAAGAAAGAAGGGACCAAGTAATGGTTTGGCTAACAACATATCAATAGGAGTTAGTTAGATCCTACAACAAGAAGGTTAAAGAAAGGAGCTTCACACCTAATGACTTGGTTCTTTGTAAGGTTCTCACTCAAACTAAAGAACCTACAGATGGCAAGTTGAGCCCTAACTGGGAAGGACCTTACAGGGTCGTGGCACGAGCAGGGACATGAGCCTATAGATTGGAGGAGCTCGATGGCAAACTAGTTCGCCAACCTTGGAACATCATCAACCTTAGAAAGTTTTACTTCTAGATAGTAATGCCTTATCATTACAATAAGTCTACAACGACATTCATTCTAGATCATCAATAAAGAGAAGCTTGTTCTTTGCAACTTTGAGCCCTCTTAAAGCCAACCTCTACGGTTGCACTTTTAAAGTCAACCTCTACGGTTGCACCTCTTAAAATAACCTCTACGGTTGTATCCCTTACACCGACCGCCATGGTTGCACCTCTAAAAGCCAACATCTACGGTTGCATCCCTTACGCCAACCTTCACAGTTGCAATTCAAAGACTTAAGACACAAAAAAAATAAAAATAATAATAATAACTCTAAAAAAAAAAGTCTTGATTTATACCTCATTTAATTTAATTCGTTAAATAAGATATGGGGGCAATTGTAAGATAGAGGCAGTAGTGGGGTGCCGCCCACTAGCCCATGGCGTCGTCCACATAGCACCAATTCTTATTTCTTTCTTGGCTAACATCAACATATATAGTTATCTCATGGATGTGGCTATTTGTCTGGGTTTGCTTTTACTTACTATTATTATTATAATATAATATTTGTATGCCCTTGCTTTTACTTACTGTCAATATTATAATATAAATTTTTGTATGACTTTGCTTGGACTGATTATCATTATTATAATAAAACCTTTCATTTTTTCCACATGACACACACACACTCTTATTTGCATCCCTGCACGTGCACTGATCTCCACTAAAGGAGAAGTGGGGCGCCGCCCACAATAACACCCAAGCACCACAGCACTCCAGGGTCGCCCATAGCACTCCTAGCATCGCCCAAGTGCCTGTCCAGCACTCTTGGCGTCGCCCAAGGTGCTGCTCAGCTCTCCTGGCGTCAGCCAAGGCGCTAGCCAGTCTTCCTGGCGTTGCCTAGCCCCTCTGGCATCGCCCAAAGCACCTTGCCANGCTGCTCAGCTCTCCTGGCGCTAGCCAGTCTTCCTGGCGTTGCCTAGCCCCTCTGGCATCGCCCAAAGCACCTTGCCAGTCTCCAAGCGTCGTCAATAGTGCCCAAGGGCGCTGCCAATCTAGGGTTGGGACCTAGAGTGCTAGTAAAACTTAACTCTGAGTATTAAGTGAATATTGATAAACAAAGCCTCTCAGCAAGCATATCTCTTCTTACAAGTAAAAACTCAATGTCCTACTACGACTCTACCTCAAACATCTAAAGGATTGGTGATGAGGTCTATCTTATCACAATCTGGAGTTCAACTTTACTTGGAACACGACTTTTTATGTCATTATAAATAAAGACTATGAGTACCAAGTAGGGAATGGGAATCCGAGCCTATTCACTATACATTTTTTCTTCTACTAGCTTACTGATTTAAGCATCGAAGTCCCTTTGGCCATCTCTGGCCATCGATTCACCTAGGCGTTTTCTTGTCTTGCAGGTTCACTAAGGTTTCTCTACCACCTTCTCCGTCTGTACAAAGTGTACTTTCAACGCCCGCACAAAATCTATGCCTTGGCCAAAGTTTTTAGTACATTTGAAAATATGTCCAGCCGTTTTGGGTATTAGTACCATCATTTAGGTAAAATTTATCAACTTTTGCGTTGTGTTCACTTTATAGTTCACTTGCTATTTTTTGGGTGAGGCTTAATGTTTTGTTAATCGTTACATTTGATAGGAGAAAAAAAAGTTGAAAGGATAAAAAAATATGAGGAATAAATTTTCTATCACTGAAAAAGAAATATATTTTCCCTCCTTTTTATTTAGTAAAATAAATGAAAAGTTGGAAGAAATAATTTTCTATTGCTTGATATTAGAAGAAAAATGCAAGAAAAAAAATGGTACATTTACTTAATTTACCACTATGCCCATACATATAAAAACATTTTTTATTACAAATAAATTTTTAAAGATTCATGGTCACTCTAATTAATTATAAAAATAAATAAACTAATAAATATAGATATGTATACTAAAAATAATAGCCAAAAAACATACACAAAAAAAGATATGTAATATGATACTTAGAAGTGTTTCTTGAAAAATGTGCAAATTTTGATTTGAAATTATGAAATAATATTTAGAAATATATTTAATGACAAAAAAGTGAATTTATTCAAAAAAATAATTTATCTTCAATTTTCCTAAAATGGTGGGCGGGAGATAAACACTTTCTCTCCAATTTTCCTTTCTAACCAAACAATAGAAACTCTTTCTTTCCATTCCATTCCATTTTTTATCATTGTTAAGTTTTCCGAATAAATTGCTTTGCGAGGAAAACTAAGATGTGTAAAAGAAGAGCCCTGGATTACTCAGCATAAGTTGCTCATAAAACAGATCATTCAATGTAAAAATCACTTGAGTTTCGAAATGTGGATTTTATCAATGTAATGGTCTTGTAGCCACGAGTTATAACCATAAAGCAGACCAAAACATAATAAGGAATTCCCCATTCTAGCAAATAAAAAATATATATATTACTAAAAAATACAGAAAAAAGCCTACTTGATTGTTGGATAAAGCATCTATTTTGTATTGGCTTAGTTTGTAATCCTAAGTTCTCAGATCAAAAGACAGTAATTTTTTTTACACAGCCCAAGGGAGGGAGCCTGGAAATGGAGCTACCCCACAGTATTTGAACAAACCTTCAAGTTCAGGACACCCATTAGGGTAAGGGATTGACCGGTGAAAAGGATCGCGCCCCAGCTTTTTGCGACGTAGTGAACCTAAACACCCATAAGGATCATCTTGGAATTGAGTCCTCACCAAGGCTTCGCCTTTCAAAGCTGCTTCCCTTGAGGTAGATGAAGATGGGGTCCCTGAGTAAAAGAACCTTGTATCCGGGAACCTAATTGCAGAGCGGTGCAGATGGACAAACCTCTCTTCCTTGAAATCATAACCCACAACCTGGATTTCAAGTTGAAAACAGAGCTTGTATTTAGTATTTCAGGTTCAAATTCAGCACAGGTTGCAAAATTATATCACTGTCAATTTAATTGATTATTTACCAAGGAAAATTGCCGTGCTGAGTAGGACTTACGTAAGGTGATTCACAAACATGTATAGGATACAAATAGCTGAAATTTAGATGTTGGAACCGGTAAGTAGCAAGATGAAATGGAATAGAAGAAAACCAGATCCATGAGAATTAAGAGGTAGCAACAAATAAAGATGACATAAGAAAGTCATTTACAATGGTTTATTCTTGGGCAAACAATTGTCTAGGAAGGGCTGGCACGACAAGACCAAGAAAGACATAGGTTGAGATGGTGAATAAAGACGTTTTGGTGATCCAAAAGAAAAGCAATAACCTGGTTAAAAGTGTTGTAATCAACATCTGAACTAGGGGAAGTCATTTTATTTTGAGTAAGTCAAAAATTTGTTAGTCTTTGATCTCAGAAATATATCCTAGGGAAGTGTTTCAGTTTTCAACTTTTACAGAAATGAAGAAAATGTTGACAATATATGGCCTTACCGTTATATTATGTGGATACGTGCCAGTAAGCTCCCGAAACCGGCAAACACTAAAGAGAAGATTCTCAAAACTGTCTCTTGCATATTCTTCTGTGAGTGCCCTCAGCCTCACGATTTCTTTCTTGCCTATGCAGACATTGGCGACATTACAGTACACAAGCAGAATCAGATTACTGAAACTTGTATACATATTAGGCAAATTTCAATACCAACATCAAAATAACGACAAAGCAGACGAGATTTAGAAAGCATATATGGTTTTTGTCCACAGCTGCAATATTGCAGTGTACAAAGCCATTGNTTTCAATACCAACATCAAACTAACGACAAAGCAGACGAGGTTTAGAAAGCATATATGGTTTTTGTCCACAGCTGCAATATTGCAGTGTACAAAGCCANATTTCAATACCAACATCAAAATAACGACAAAGCAGACGAGATTTAGAAAGCATATATGGTTTTTGTCCACAGCTGCAATATTGCAGTGTACAAAGCCATTGCAAAAAGGAACATAATCTTGTACAGAAGGGAGCCACATAGATCAATAAAAGATGTTAAATAAAGACGCGGTTAGGATGCCAGATAACTGTTTCACGATGGCCCTTGAAATGAACTACATTCGGGAGAGAGGGATAACGAGATAGTAAACACTATTTCGGCAGAGGAATATACCCGATATAGATATAGCATTTTGTCTACTCTTCGTATTACCACAACCATCTCCATCAATTGCATATACCCACCACCAGCAATAACAGCCAATATCTATGGATTGTCACCACACCACATATGTCACCAGATACATTACTTTAAAACATCAACACCATGACCATCCATACCAGTGCCAGAATTTAAAAAAATGGCACCATGCACTGTCTCCACCCCCCTAATACCACTATGGCCATGACATCCAATGCCACCATTACCACCGCCAAGAGATATTCACCACCAGACTCTCCAGCAATGCCACCATTTCTCAGCAGCATCACCCTTTCCTTACAACAAATATTATTACCTCTGCTTTTACATCCCAAATCCTTTCTCTTTCGGTTTTTTATCCACACCATGCTCCGAATAAATTAAATACGTGCTTCTTAGAAAACACAGCTTATTGGGGATTATACCCCTCCATCTGTCCAGATTAGCAACAATTGGCCCAAATCCAGGATGACGCAGGAAAACAGGATCTAGTGTATATTTCAACCCTAGTGAATGATAATGGGCCAAGTAAATAGCATCCAAATACTAGTCCAAAGTATTGTAAGGCTAACATAGTCACATATATTAGGGACACCAACTGTATCTTGAAACACCAAAGGCAAAGGAGGGTGTCTACTTCTCCATTTTCAGTGCTTTACAGAACATGAAAACTTGAGGGTAAGGCACAAACAGCTGCAAGCCTAGCAGCAACTTTTTTTGTCTGAGTCATGACTGCCAGAATGTTTCAGTTTCAACATCAGTTATCAGCCATATTTATTTCGAAACCCAAAACTCTTACCTCCAACTCCCAACACAAAATAAACAAATAACCAAATAATGGAACAAAAGGGAAACCCCTTTGTTTTTCTACTTTTTTTTCTACTTGTGCAGCCTGCAGTTAAACTATCTATAATAAATGACAGATGGCTCATGATCTGAATGTGAACTCCAACAGCTAATATANGTGCAGCCTGCAGTTAAACTATCTAAAAGCCTCTATAATAAATGACAGATGGCTCATGATCTGAATGTGAACTCCAACAGCTAATATAACTTGCTGCTTAATTTTAAGTCAGACATTCTCAGCACGGGTCCAGAATATGAATGATATACCCTGCCGTTAGGATACGTAAGATTTCTTAACATGGGAGTGTTTATTCCATCATGACACAGTTGATCATTTGATATTGCTGCTTAACAATGATCTGGCTCAGGGTCACCATGCATATCATTTAGGAATGATTGTTCTGACATGTGGACTGCCTAAACACAGCGTAGCATTATGCAATGCATCAAGTAAGAGCGTAAGTTTCAAATGATTGAACTAAGCACAAAGGGATTCCCAGGCAAGAAACGACAGATTCTATTTGTGCACAACATATGAGGACAAAATCATTCACACAGTTCTTATTTGCTTATCCTGTAAATTCCAAGAAAACATGCAAAGCAATTCCTAAATAGGAAATGTCTCAAGTGCTGTAGGTTCTACCATTGTCGTGTGCTAAATGGAGCAACAGTTGCTTAAAAGTTAATTTTGTTTTACTTGAACAGTTGAACTAGCCTGAAGATGCAAACAGTGGTTTTGCAGACAAATCCAAAGATTCGATTGAACTATTTTTTTTTCTTACCTTATAAGTGAGGTGCCTAAGTTGATTTCACAAAATTTTAGAGACTGTAATATTTAACAAACGAATTTATCCATGTCAAAGTGATATCTTCGAAACCAAATGTTCATCATTTATAGGGCTGATAGGTTTAGATATGAACTCAGACTTAAGGATTACAATAACCACCAACACAAAAGCACTCGCAAACACAAACAAACAGAGATGAACCAACCCCTTACTAGCCAGGATTCCTAGTTTTCTTTTACGTAACATCAAAACAGGTAAGTTCAAAGGTTTAAAACTTTTAAGAAAGTGCAACTCACCAAACCATCCTTTTGATTCAGCAACAATCCAGTAACTCTGTGCCTCGCTTCTAGGCCCAGCATCTTTCCGAGTCTCTCCACCGCTAAACAAGAGCAAAGCCTCATCATCTCTAGCTGCAACTTCTATTCCCTCCTGTATATGTGTCACAAACGTAGCAGCTTGACCCGGATGCTTTTGATAAGACTCCAAAAACCAAGCATTCTCCTTATCAACCTTCTCACAACTACTACTTGTGTACACTGAATGCCCAGCAACCATTACAAGATTCCGAAACTTTGCAAACGGATAGGTATCGGAACCCTTATCAGATTTCTTATAATTACTCATCATTCTGAATTGGCTCTCGTAAAGAGATAGTACCATGAGAATTGTGACCCCAACTGACAATGAAATGAAGAAAACCATGATGGGGTGCAGCTTGGAATAGTATTGAATTCGGTTTCCAATGGATTTGATCATTTTGAATGGATGAAGAGGTGAATTTTTTGGCTTTCTGGTTCTTTTAATAGTTCCAGATTCTAGATCAAAATCACCTCTACGGTAGACCTGGAAAGACTTGGGACTACCAGACCCAAATGCATGATTTATCTTCATAAATGGGATCCAGTATCTAGGAAATCAAGCATACCCAGAACCAAATTCAGAGAGTAGTACAATTTCACGAAGCACACCCAGATGGAGATCAAGGATGTCACAGAAAGAACTCAAATTTTCCGATTCTGTAGAAATCCAAAGATAATGTGTTTGTCTGTGATAAAGAAAATTAGGGCCATTCAATCACCCAGCATCAAACCCGGTGCAGAGGACCAAAAGAGAAGCATTAAGAGAGAAAGAAAACTTACCCAGAAGAAAATTCGAACAGAAAACTACGGCCAGATGAGGACTCGAGATTTCCCGGTATGAAAATTTACCAGATTGAAGAAGCTCGGCGTGTACTTTCTAGGTAGACTTTAATGGATGAAGACAAACTATATAAACTATTCGGTTTTTTATATTTTATATTTTAAAAGATGTCACGATTTCCGAGTTTTTTTTTCAAACTCAGCCTCCCTAGGATCTTAATTCCTTAAATTAATCGTTTAACATTTTTATACAAGTATTAAAGAAATTATTAAATAATTATAATATAAGTAAAAAATAATTACACAAAACTAAAATACTTTTATTCAATACGTATTAGAAAGGAAAGAAATATGAAAGACACTTAGCCTCCACCTAATCTAATATATTGAAAAGTTAAAGGTAAATTTGGAAGAAAAAATATTAATTATATTTTAATTTATTAAATGACAAATTTTATGGAACAAAAAAAAAATGTATAAAACGACAGTTATTTAGTAACGGATGAAGTATTTTATTAAAAAAGTCATTTAAAATGACGCTTTTATAAGTTAAAACGTCATTTTAATTGACATTTTTAAACTGGAATTTGTTTTTTAAAAATACGTCAAATGACGTTTTTAAATGTGTCATTTTTAATGACATTTTAACTCATAAATTTTCAAACGGCAACTTACAGACGTTAAAAAAAAATAAGTGATAAAAAAACATCATTTACAATTACGTTTTATGCCCTTATAGTCGGATCCCAAATTTTCCTAAATTTCCTAATTCACAAAATCCCTAATCTGTCTAAACTAAACCCATCACGCATAATACCGATCTTCTCCACTCTACACCTCCGGCAAAGATCAGTCATTTTTAAGCTTTTACCGTCGACGAAGACCACTCCGGCCCAGGAGTCTACCTCCGGTGAAGACACTCTGCCGACGAAGAACCACTCCTCCGACAAAAGATCTTAGGTGGGAGAAGGAATTCACAAAGCTATGGAGTCTCTCTGTGTAGAAAGCGGCCTGTCCTCTAACAATTGCTCCTTTAGCTACTCCGGCAACCTACCGAAGGTAGTGTGGTCTCTGTCTCTTTTTCTTTAGAAATTTATGGGCCAGAGGTTCAAATGTGTGTTGATTGTTTGTTCATTTTATTTAACCTTGGGTACTTTAAGAATGTTCAATAGATTAATGTGAATATACTTCATTGTTTAGATGTACCGTTTGTGTATGTTTTGATATGCATTTTGTGAATTGGAAATTATACCCTTTTGCTGGGGCATTATTTGTGATTTTCTCAATTTCAAGATGGGTACCAGTTTTGTTCTACTGGTTTGGTGCAAAGTTATGATTTTTGGCACTTTACTGTTAATGGGATTTTTGAGTTTTGTTGAATTTGTTAGGGTAGGTCTGGACTACAAACATTTTTGAGTAATTTCCATGTCATTTTCCATGATAGCTCATCGTTGTGACTGGAAAATTAATATAACTAGACAACATGGTATGGATTTCTTCATTCTGAAAAAGATTGCTAAGGTAATCATATTGTAGCACGTGTTTCTGGCTTGTGTAACAACCACCTTATAGTGATATGCTAGAACCAACATAAAATAAAGAAATTAAAAACACAGCTGACAGTGGTTCATAGTAGGGTAATCTGGTATCTCTCTAATCCATAACAACTGTTTACTTTGTAGATAAGTAGTCTACAACAACTTATCAGCACTATTGAAAAGAAAAACTCACATAAGTAATGTGATGTGTCCGCATTTCTTAAGGTCAGAATATCTCATGTTGTAGAGAGATGGGCCTTGCAAAACTTTTAACGGGTGAAATTAATAAGAAAAGGAAATAAAGTTTTATAGAAATATTACATTAGATTTTTCTTGGAAATCCACCCAGACTAGTATCTTGTGTAAATATCGTTGGATCCTATATGATATAGTTAACAAGGCATGCGTATTCCCATGTTCTGATCTTTCCATTTTTTTGACCCATTTCTTGGGTAAAGTCTCCCAACTATATTTGAAAATAAATTGGTTATCCATTTGACAATGTGTATTGTGGCTAATAATTTACTTATGATTTTCTTTTTATTGTGTCTGTGTCCATCAATCAGTGCAGTGGTTTACAAGAATAACATTCATATCTTCATAGGTAGAAGAAGCTTGAGTGGTTTACAGCTTTAGACATCGCAGGTTTTAAGTTATTTGGACAGCAAGCTAGCCATTCCATGGACGATTCAATTCCAGTTCTAGGAGTGAATTCTGACAAGTTTGATGGCGCTGGTTATCATCAAAGAACATATGTGCAATATAGTTGCAATACCTCTGTTGCAGATGGCATGAAAATTTTGTGTATCTTTGAAATATCGAAAATTGTGAATATGAAATGGAAATCTTTTCAATATATAATGGCTTATTTGTAGATTTTTTCCTCATCTTGGTTTCTTATGTTATTTTTGTCTAGTTGAATTTAATTGTCGAGTTGGTGAATATGAAATATGTCCCTTTGTTGTGTTTGAATGAGGCAAGAAATAATGGAGTCTCAAAGTCATTCCACATTGCTGCAGTAATCGAGTCTCTTAGTGACAATGCAATTTGCTCTTGTATAGAGGCAGCCAAAAGTATATCAGGTTGATTAAATAGTGTTAGAGTATGTGTGGCTCATATTTGCTGTGTGTACCATGACAAGGAGGCAGATGCCGGAGCGGAGCGATTACTTTGGGGTACGGGGGCAACGTCCCTACGGTACGGTACAAGAACATTTTGTAAATACATCCGTACCAGGGTTATATAAATACTTAAGATATAACCCTACTTTAAATAATGGAATAGAATGACCGCTCGCTCCAGTGGATGTAGGTACATTGCCGAACCACATAAATCTCTGTGTTATTTTCTCTTACTTGCTTAATTGATTAATTTCTTATTATTCATCATAATTGCTGCACGATCACAAAAATTGGTATCAGAGTCAGGCTACGATGTCTGGGATTTCTTCTGCAAAATTCGACATGATGAAGTTCGACAAAATTGAAAATTTCAGATTATGGCAGAGGAGGGTGAAGGACTTATTAGTGCAGCAAGGCATGGTGAAGGCGTTATACGGAAAACAACCGACAGGAATGGACGACATGGATTGGAAAGAATTGGAAACGAAAGCTGTGGCGACTATTAGGTTTTGTCTGGCTGATGACGTGATGTATCACGTCATGGATGAGAAATCACCGGCGAAAGTTTGGTTGAAACTAAAAATTCAGTATATGTCCAAGTCGTTGACGAATAAGCTCTATCTTAAGTAGAAACTATATGGTCTTAAGATGTCAGAGGGCTCGAATCTGAGCCAACACGTTAACGTGTTCAATCAAATCATCTGTGATCTGAAGCGAGTTGATGTGAAGTTCGAAGACGAAGACAAGGCGTTGATGTTGCTGAATTTCCTACCAGCGTCTCCTACGTACGAGAATTTAGTTACGACTCTGATGTAGGGGAAAGAAACCCTCGAGTTGGAGGATGTCACAGGTGCTCTGTTAGGTTTTCATCAGCGGAAGAAAGCCAGTGATGAGACTTCACAAGGTGAAGGGCTTGTGGTAAAAGGTAACCAGTAACGTGGAAGAAGCAAATCTCGGAATGGATCGGGTAACAATAAAGCCCGGTCCAAATCGAGGAAGAAGAAGGAGGACGTCTCTGTCTCGTGTTACAAGTGCGGGAAAAAGGGGCACTTTAAACNCTTTAGAAATTTATGGGCCAGAGGTTCAAATGTGTGCTGATTGTTTGTTCATTTTATTCAACCTTGGGTACTTTAAGAATGTTCAATAGATTAATGTGAATATACTTCATTGTTTAGATGTACAGTTTGTGTATGTTTTGATATGCATTTTGTGAATTGGAAATTATACCCTTTTGCTGGGGCATTATTTGTGATTTTCTCAATTTCAAGATGGGTACCAGTTTTGTTCTACTGGTTTGGTGCAAAGTTATGATTTTTGGCACTTTACTGTTAATGGGATTTTTGAGTTTTGTTGAATTTGTTAGGGTAGGTCTGGACTACAAACATTTTTGAGTAATTTCGATGTCATTTTCCATGATAGCTCATCGTTGTGACTGGAAAATTAATATAACTAGACAACATGGTATGGATTTCTTCATTCTGAAAAAGATTGCTAAGGTAATCATATTGTAGCACGTGTTTCTGGCTTGTGTAACAACCACCTTATAGTGATATGCTAGAACCAACATAAAATAAAGAAATTAAAAACACAGCTGACAGTGGTTCATAGTAGGGTAATCTGGTATCTCTCTAATCCATAACAACTGTTTACTTTGTAGATAAGTAGTCTACAACAACTTATCAGCACTATTGAAAAGAAAAACTCACATAAGTAATGTGATGTGTCCGCATTTCTTAAGGTCAGAATATCTCATGTTGTAGAGAGATGGGCCTTGCAAAACTTTTAACGGGTGAAATTAATAAGAAAAGGAAATAAAGTTTTATAGAAATATTACATTAGATTTTTCTTGGAAATCCACCCAGACTAGTATCTTGTGTAAATATCGTTGGATCCTATATGATATAGTTAACAAGGCATGCGTATTCCCATGTTCTGATCTTTCCATTTTTTTGACCCATTTCTTGGGTAAAGTCTCCCAACTATATTTGAAAATAAATTGGTTATCCATTTGACAATGTGTATTGTGGCTAATAATTTACTTATGATTTTCTTTTTATTGTGTCTGTGTCCATCAATCAGTGCAGTGGTTTACAAGAATAACATTCATATCTTCATAGGTAGAGAAGCTTGAGTGGTTTACAGCTTTAGACATCGCAGGTTTTAAGTTATTTGGACGGCAAGCTAGCCATTCCATGGACGATTCAATTCCAGTTCTAGGAGTGAATTCTGACAAGTTTGATGGCGCTGGTTATCATCAAAGAACATATGTGCAATATAGTTGCAATACCTCTGTTGCAGATGGCATGAAAATTTTGTGTATCTTTGAAATATCAAAAATTGTGAATATGAAATGGAAATCTTTTCAATATATAATGGCTTATTTGTAGATTTTTTCCTCATCTTGGTTTCTTATGTTATTTTTGTCTAGTTGAATTTAATTGTCGAGTTGGTGAATATGAAATATGTCCCTTTGTTGTGTTTGAATGAGGCAAGAAATAATGGAGTCTCAAAGTCATTCCACATTGCTGCAGTAATCGAGTCTCTTAGTGACAATGCAATTTGCTCTTGTATAGAGGCAGCCAAAAGTATATCAAGTTGATTAAATAGTGTTAGAGTATGTGTGGCTCATATTTGCTGTGTGTACCATGACAAGGAGGCAGATGCCGGAGCGGAGCGATTACTTTGGGGTACGGGGGCAACGTCCCTACGGTACGGTACAAGAACATTTTGTAAATACATCCGTACCAGGGTTATATAAATACTTAAGATATAACCCTACTTTAAATAATGGAATAGAATGACCGCTCGCTCCAGTGGATGTAGGTACATTGCCGAACCACATAAATCTCTGTGTTATTTTCTCTTACTTGCTTAATTGATTAATTTCTTATTATTCATCATAATTGCTGCACGATCACAAAAATTGGTATCAGAGTCAGGCTACGATGTCTGGGATTTCTTCTGCAAAATTCGACATGATGAAGTTCGACAAAACTGAAAATTTCAGATTATGGCAGAGGAGGGTGAAGGACTTATTAGTGCAGCAAGGCATGGTGAAGGCGTTATACGGAAAACAACCGACAGGAATGGACGACATGGATTGGAAAGAATTGGAAACGAAAGCTGTGGCGACTATTAGGTTTTGTCTGGCTGATGACGTGATGTATCACGTCATGGATGAGAAATCACCGGCGAAAGTTTGGTTGAAACTAAAAATTCAGTATATGTCCAAGTCGTTGACGAATAAGCTCTATCTTAAGTAGAAACTATATGGTCTTAAGATGTCAGAGGGCTCGAATCTGAGCCAACACGTTAACGTGTTCAATCAAATCATCTGTGATCTGAAGCGAGTTGATGTGAAGTTCGAAGACGAAGACAAGGCGTTGATGTTGCTGAATTTCCTACCAGCGTCTCCTACGTACGAGAATTTAGTTACGACTCTGATGTAGGGGAAAGAAACCCTCGAGTTGGAGGATGTCACAGGTGCTCTGTTAGGTTTTCATCAGCGGAAGAAAGCCAGTGATGAGACTTCACAAGGTGAAGGGCTTGTGGTAAAAGGTAACCAGTAACGTGGAAGAAGCAAATCTCGGAATGGATCGGGTAACAATAAAGCCCGGTCCAAATCGAGGAAGAAGAAGGACGTCTCCATCTCGCGTTACAAGTGCGGGAAAAAGGGGCACTTTAAACGGGATTGTCCAGAGAAAAAGAAAGAGAATTCAAAGGACAAAGAGGGTCCATCAAAGTCTGCAAACGTAGTGGAAGAAGATTATTCAAAGAGCGGTGACGGTGATATGCTTTCTATTTCATCCGGTTCAGATCGTCTAACAAATTTCTGGATTATGGATTCAGTATGTTCCTATCACATGACACCCAACAAATATTGGCTTGACACCTACAGGTCAATAAATTCTGATCCTGTTATGATGGGTAACGATGCATCCTGCAAAGTTGTTGGAATAAGGAATATTAGAATTGAGATGTTTTATGGTGTGGCTAGAACGTTGTGTGATGTTAGACATCTACAGGATCTAAGGAAGAATCTAATTTCATTGGGCACTTTAGATTGTAATGGTTATAATTACAAATCTATAAGTTAAGTAATGAAAATGAGTAAAGGCATGCTGATAGTGATGAAGGGACAGAAAGTAGAAGGAAATATTTACAGACTACTGGGTACCATGATTGTAGGTGAAGTTGCTGCTGTAGAGTCTGAATCAGATAGTACAGTCTTGTGGCATATGCGGCTGGGNACAATGTGTATTGTGGCTAATAATTTACTTATGATTTTCTTTTTATTGTGTCTGTGTCCATCAATCAGTGCAGTGGTTTACAAGAATAACATTCATATCTTCATAGGTAGAAGAAGCTTGAGTGGTTTACAGCTTTAGACATCGCAGGTTTTAAGTTATTTGGACAGCAAGCTAGCCATTCCATGGACGATTCAATTCCAGTTCTAGGAGTGAATTCTGACAAGTTTGATGGCGCTGGTTATCATCAAAGAACATATGTGCAATATAGTTGCAATACCTCTGTTGCAGATGGCATGAAAATTTTGTGTATCTTTGAAATATCGAAAATTGTGAATATGAAATGGAAATCTTTTCAATATATAATGGCTTATTTGTAGATTTTTTCCTCATCTTGGTTTCTTATGTTATTTTTGTCTAGTTGA